TGGTGTTGGTTGTGTGTGTGTGTGTGTGTGTGTATGCGTGCGCGTGCATGTGCATGGGTGTAAAACCCAGTGTTCCTTCTGGGGATGATTTGATTGATGTATACACTGGAAACATCTTTAATAATTTAATGCCTGCTTCAAAGGAGATTACACCAAAAAGCACATTGCTTTTCATTTATTCATTACAGATCTGTCATAGCAGCATTTTTTTTTTTGCTCTGAATTGTAGTGTCGTAGTAATAATAAATTTTATTCCAGACTCAGGATATTTTAAAAGATTATAAGCCTTTTAACTAATATTGCCATCTTGTTTAAATTGATCAAATTGGTATTTCAGCACCATAATCTTGCATTTCTTAAYGTTGAACTAATGAGATGTGGCTTCCTAGGATGGCTGCTGAAACGGCTGTGCGGGGGGGTGGTAGAGTAACGGGATGAAAGCATCGTGCTGCTTGTTAGTGAGGTGGCGATAATGGCAGGAAGACAGAGCCCCGAGTCTGGGGCTGGAGGCCTTCTTTAAGCACAGAACAAGTCGATACCTGCCCTTTGCAGGAGAGAGAGAGAGAGAGAGAGAGAGAGAGAGAGAGAAAGAGAGGCAGGCAGAGGGACGGAAAGAGAGACACACTATTTGGAATTGGGGTAAGACTGAGAAATAAAAAACTAAAAATTAAGAAAACGTACTGTCATGTTGCAATTATGATGTGTAAATCCCGATGTCAAGGAAGGAAACCAGTGTTTCCCACTGAGATGTCGTCACCTCAGTAGGCTTCAGCAGCAGTGTTCGTATTCTCAGGGGGCCAGGTCTGTATCTAGATTCTTGCACAATTACAGTGGATGGTGTTTTTTTTTTTTTTATTACAGCTTTATAGTCGTGATAGCATTTGGGTTCATCCTGACACACACACACCCGTGGAAGTTGGCTTTGGTTCATGGTACCCCACTTTCCCTCCTGCCCTTCTTTCCGTCTCCCAGGTTTTTCCCCCTATTATTATTTCTCATTAAGTTATGCTGTATAACTTCTCTTTAAAACAGAAAACTCATTTGCCCTAAATAAAACAGGTTTAGACACAGTGAGTGTGAACACAACTCCTGGGACGGACGCACAGTTACCCCGCGTCCCAGCATTGTGTAAGGGGGAACCTGCTCTTTCTGTTTCTGGGCTCTTGCCGGGCACTGCATCAGGCGCTTGGCCTCAGAATCGGCCCCGTGGTCCCTCCTTACCGTACACCAGAGTCCCTGGTGGGAATCCAGAAAGGCTTTGCTTTCATGTCAGTGATCTTTAAGCAGGAAGATAGGTGTGGCCCACGGCTGCTGCCGTGCTCATTGGCCACTGAAGGGCACAGGAAGGTCCCTGCATCCATGACTTGGAGGGAGCCACACCTGGTTACTTGTCCAGGGCAGGGCCAGATTTGGGGCATCAGGCCCGGCTGCAGCCCCTGTCCTGCTGGTGGAAGTGCTGTGATGTCCTGCTTCCCCTAGCTGTGTGGCGGGACAGGTCACGTGTGCTCAGGCCCTCGGGAGGCTGTGGGGTGAGGAGTGAGTGGGGGTGTGCACTGGCCATAGAGTTGTGCCCCCCACCGGCTTCCAGCCACCCTACTCTGGCCCATTGCTGCCCGTCGGCCGACAGCGCCAATGGGCTATGGCAGCATCTGTGACAGAGGCGCGAGGCCCCTCTGCCACACGCTCCACTGTTGCTGTCCTGCGCCTGCGCCCTGAGTTCCTTGTTGACCTCATATTGTCTCTGAGTGCCTGGCATCTGGAGTTCTAACACAGAGGGGTGCCCTAGGCTCTGTCGCCAAAGTCCCCACGTACCTCTTAAGTTTCCACAGTGACCCTCTTCCCCAAGTGCCCAGAGTCTGGGTYGGGGACTTGCTGTCTCGGGCCCAGGACACCTAGGCCTTTGGCCTTCTCTTCTGGCACATTAGTGGGGGACACCTGCAGGGTCTTCTCTGAGCTGGGTCCTCACTCTCTGCTCTGAAGCCCTCTCTTCCTCAGWGTCTCCACAGGGGAAGCCCCAGCTGCCTGCTGCAGGCTCTTTCCTACCCCCTYAGGGACGCAGGAAGGTCATCTTTGGCTCAGGACGTCCCCTCTTTCTTTATTTTTGTTCTAAATCTTACTCTGAGGTAAAGTACACATACTGCAGATTTCACCCTCTTAGCCATCAAGTCTACAGTGCACCTAAACGTCAGCTACGCTCACGACCTTGTGAAGCCGTCACCACCACACGTCCCCAGAGCTCTTCATCTGGCCCAGATGGACTGTGTCCACGCGGCCTTGGTTTCCCCACTCGCCCTTCCCCAGGGCCCAGGAGGCCACCCTCTCTCTGTGATTCTACCTCCCTCAAGGACCTCACATCAAGTGGATTCCTTCAGTGTGTGTCTTTTGTGAGAGGCTTATTTCACTTAGCGTGACGTCACTGATTGTTGGCACCCATCAGGATTCCCTCACTGACCCAAGCTGGATGACATTCCACTGGTGGACGTCCACCTCTTGCTTAGCTGTCCATCTCCTTGCACACTTGGGTCGACTCCACATTTTAGCTTTTGTGAATCAAGGTGCTGTGAACTTGGGTGTGAGAACATCTCTTTAGACCCAGAAGTGGAATGGCTGGACCACCTGCTAATTCTAGGCTTGGACCTTTGAGGAACTGCCATSCTGTTTTTCCCCAGGTGGTTCCCCGTACATCCCCACTGCAGGGCTCAAGGGATTCCATTTCTCTACCCCTTGCCCACATTTGTTATATTCTCTCTCTCTCTCATAATCATCCTAATGGGTGTGAGTTGGTATTGGATTGTGGTTTGCTTTGCATTCCCCTAATGGTTAGTGATGTTGAGCACCTTTTCACCCACTTATTGGCCATTTGTATGTCTCCTTTGGAGAAATGTCTGTGTCCTCTGCACATTTTTGATCACTTGGTTTTTTTGTTGTTGAGTTTTAAGAGTTCTCTGTATTTTGGGGACGTCAGTCAGTCCCCTGTCAGATGTGTGAGTTGGGAATGTCTTCTCCCATTTGGAGGGCTGCCATCTTACTCTGTTAGTGGTGTCTTTTGATGCAAAAATGTCACAAACTTCAAAAGCTCAATTCGCCCACCCCTTTGTTTCCTGTGCCTTTGGTGTCATTTCTGGGAAACTGCTGCTGGACCTAAGGTCATGAAGCTCTGGCTCCATACTGTCCTCTAAGAATTTCCTGGTTTTAGGCTTCTGATCGTTCGAGTCAGCTTTTGCACATGGTGCTCGGCAGGGGCCCACTTCACTCTTTTGTACATGGAAATCAGTTTTCCCAGGATGATCTGTGGAAAAGGTTTTCTGTTTTCCATTGAGTGATGTTGATTTCCTCACCTGAACGTGAGAGTTTCTTTCAGGACTTCTGTTCTATCCGTTGATTCAGTTCACACCACTGGTTTTGACAACGATAGCTTTGTGGAAAGTTTTGAAATTAGGAAGCATGAATGCTCCAGGGTTGTGCCTTTTTTTTTTTCCAGATTGCTTTAGCTATTTAAGGTTTCTTAATATTTCAGAATTTTAGGATGGGTTTTTCCATTTCTGCAGATATGCCATTGGGATTTTGACAAGGATTGCTCTAAATCCGCAGATCACTGGATAGTATTGACGTTTTAACAAATTAAGTATTCCAATCCATGAACATGGGATATGTTTGCCTTCTTTAATATCTCTGAGCAGTATTTTCTAGTGTTTTCATATCCTTGGCTAAGAGGATTCTTTCTGAAGCTACTGTAAATGGAATTGTTTTATAGGTTCCTTTTTAGATCGCTCATCGTTTGTGTGTGGAAACAGCCACTTTTCATGTGTGAAGTATCCTCCTTGGTTCAGTTTTAGCAGTGACAGTGCTGCCTCTCTGAATCCTAATTCTCTTGTCCTCAACACTTCAGGTGTGTGTGCCTTGGTGCCTTGGGAGCTGGTTCTCTTTAGAGCCAGGGTGAGACGAGGATATGGTGGGGAGTTGGGAAAATGCAGGTTTCTTGTTTGGAGATTGGAGACATTTTCTCATCTTCAGTCATTCAAGACTCATAGACTAAAACCAAGACATTTCTTACCAAACATTGTGAGTTAAATGTCTTGAATCTCTGACTGTTTCTTTTACCATCATTTGGCAGATCTACCCCCTTCCCACTCTGACCTTCCTACTGGCTTCCCCCTGGGTGGCTGCACCCTGTTTGAATGAATGGCCTCTGAATGGAAATTCGAACCATCAGCCTCACCATCTTATGCAATCCATATGGTGGCCAGTGCTGTGACTTTGTGATACCTTAGCAACAAGTGTTTTTCCCTCATTATTTAAGGACATCTTTGATATCAAATCACTACATTTGGGACTTTAACAGAAGATAGGAATTCATGATTCCAACTTCCATTTCTTTCATATTACGTGGAATTTTATTTTTAAACTGTTAGTCTGTTCTTCATTTCCTTCCCTCTTCACTTCTCCAAYGGAAAGCATTGTGCCAACTTTTATGAGGAGAGTATTAATGGTACCATAGAAATTAGTAACTCAGGAAAGAATCAATTCTCAGAGGTGGAAGGGAGGCCAGGGCTAATTCAGTCCCAAGCTCTCATTTTACACAGGCTGGAGAATTAAATGACCCGTTCAATGTTGGGCAGCTAGAAAAAGTCTTCGTTTCCTGTCTGTGAGGGGATCTCCAGCACTGGTTCTGAAGTCACATGCTCAGTTCAAGTTCTGGATTCTCCAGTGGGACCTTGGGCTTGATGCTGGGCTCTCCACGCCTTAGTTTTCTCATCTGTAAAGTGGGAATGATGCCCATCTCACAGGATCATTGTGCTGATTAAATGAGAAAACACTTCAGAGGGTGGTGTGAGGTAGGTCCTCAGTCAGTGCAAACCCATCAGGCCCTGGAAAGTGTTGCACACACGTGAGGAAAGTCTCACTGGACTGCAGTGTAGTAATCACTGCCTCACTGTGACTTGTTATGGAAAATCTGTGACACTTCCTACTTTTACCCAGTATTTCTTTTGTCCCGTCAGAGGCCAGCAGAGATGGTCGATGAGGAAGAAGAGGAGGAGAAAACCAACAAAGATGCAGAACAGAAAGAAGACTTTTCAGAAATGAATGGCCAAGTGGAAGATGAGGCCTGTGGGGGCGCTGCCGATGTCCCTGAGCAAGTGGAGGAGATCCCAGATCCCAGGRAGGAGAACCCCGGTCCTGCTCGGGTCAACGGAGGCACGGACGAAGAAAATGGCGAGGAGCTGGACCAGGTTATTGAGGAGCTCCAGACAGCAGCAGAGGAGGAAAGACAGTCTCCAGCGGGGGCGGGCAGTGGACAAGACGAGGTACGGCTTTGCTTTCTTGTGGGTTTGCATGGGGTCGGGGGAGAGAACCTGCACACACATGCGTCAACCTGGAAATTACCCAAACACTTAACGACTGGCACTGAAATCACTTATGACAGAGTCAGTAGACCTAATACAGTTTAAATAATTTTAATTTATACTTATTTCAAATCAGTTCACAAGTTAGTTTTGCCATCTGACAGTTCTCCTGTCCATCTTTCTGACAGCCATCCGTCTATTCATCTCCTCTCATTGTAGCAAAAATTCACAGAGCCCTTTAACAACACATATAATAAAAGGGAGGAAAAAAATAAAACTAGAAACAAGCTAGGACCACGCAAGAAGCCAGAAAAGGATATCAAAGCCAGGGAGAGCTGGGTGAGACAAAGAGCGTCATCGCGATGATCAGGGACTTCTTTTCTCTCTGGGATCATTAGCCAGGTGGGTTTGTTCCACCTTAAATGGATGAATTGAACCAAGCACTCAACTCGCTTGAGTGTAGCTAGAGCAAAACAAGAGAACTGAACATTGGCAGAGTGCAAAGCGTGCTTGTGGCCAGGTTTTAATAAGTGGTGCAGAGTCTCCTGTAACCCCCTGCACCTCTATACACAGCACTCTGAACATGCAACGGAACTCTCAGCACGCCTCTCATTCCATCCTTCCTCCAGTGGGATAACCACCACACATAGGTCCACACAATGCTCAATGTCATTTACTTGGCAACTGCAATGGTCCGTTTCATAGAACTCTTTGTGGTGTTAGCCTTTGATGAAAGTTTACTGCATGAAATCAAAGTGCAGTTCTGTGTGGGACAAGGTCATGAGATCCTAGGACACATTTTCTGCCCCCAGTGGTCTAGCTTAGTTCAGTGCGTGACCTGGATAGATTTTACATGAATGAATGGACTGCCTGTCCATCCATCTTCCATGAATATAACTTCTGAAAACGATGCTACAGTTTTCAATAACATGGGTACCCCTGGAAGACGTGGTGTAAAGTGAAACAAGCCAGGCACAAACTGACAAATTCTCCATGGCCTCACTCATACACAGAGCCCAACAAGGCTGAATTTAGGCAGAGGGCAGAATGGTGGTTATTAGGGGCTGGGGTGGGGGCTGGGAGATTTGGTCTCAGGGTATAAAATTTCACTTAGGAGGACTAAGTCCAAGATGTCTGTAAACATGGTCCTTACAGCTAACGACCACGTACCGTGTGCTTGAAGGATAGAATCACTCCCATTGCATTCTGGAGAGATTTTGGGGTTCTCCCTACAAAGGGTGATGAGTAAGACTGTGGCCTGGAGGTGTGGGAGCTGGACTGACTCTCCTCCTTGCTGGTGCCTCTGGCAGAGCTGTGAGGCCTTCGGGATTCCCCGCAGCATAGTTTGAAAACCAGCATTTTGGAGTTTTGGTTTTCAAACCAGTGAGTCCTAATCTCGCCCCTGGTTTCAGTCTCGTGGGGGAAATCAAGTGACCCATGGGGCAGTATCACTGACACCGTGGGAGAGGAGCTGCCCTGCAGTTGGGTGCTCTGTCCTGCTCTGCCTACTGTGCTCCATGGCTCCTGGCAGAGCACTGGCACACCTGGGAATCCCCRGGAGAGCCTCAGTGGGAGGCTGGGCCTCGGGACTCCAGGGCGGGGCTGCTGCATTGCTTGGGTCCCTCTTCACAGAAAAATATAAAGATGTTTTTTGAAAGAAAAGATCGAAGGGAAATAAAGAAAAGAAACAACAACAGAAATATAAAGCCTGCGGCATAGGAAATGGATTACAATGTCAGGAGAGCCTTCTCTGCAAATAGAACCGTGTGTCCGCTGGGTGACCACCGACGGAGCACCAGGGGAGCGAGGCCTGGTTCTGGTGGAGGACTTAGGAGAGCACACGGGACGCTGAGTTACTAGCTTTTCCCCTGTGACTTTGGTTGCCTTTGTAAAGGAAAGAGCTGAACACCTTAGTTTTGATCTGTTTTCCTCCAGGCTGATGTGGACCCTCAGAGGCCACCGAGGCCCGAAGTGAAGATCACGAGTCCTCAGGAAAACGGGAGCAATGAGCAGAGCAAGGACTACGCTGTGGAGGCATAGATGGTGACCAAGAGTGAGGACTCGGAGTGCGAGAACGGAGCCATGACCCTGAGCAGTGAGCGCATCGTTCTTGCTAAACCTGGTGAGGCAAGATGGTCGGACCCTCCCTGTGGAATTTCACGATCAGAGGCCTCTGTGGAAGGCCGGATGACTCTCAGTAGCTACTAAAAGAGAACGACGTGCTTTCCAGCATGTGTTTTTATGTCACTTAGAAGATTTGAATAAGAGGGACAGAGAAGAGTCTGCGGTGGASAGTCGGCCACTTATGTTTGTAAGGATAGAAGGATGGAATCACTCCCATTGCATTTGTTATTGTAAATTTAGGAATGACAGTAGTAGACGGCAGCTTGTTCTAGAGCATTTATCTAAGAAAGCATAGAATTTTAAAGAATCGGTAATAGGAAAACATGTTATTTTCTTAAAGCAATAAACTTTTGAATGAAAACAGTTGCGATTTAGTTTCAGAGGTAACTTGGAGRTGGCAGGAGGTCGGCATGTTTCCTTGGCTGGAGGACCTTCCTGTCTTTCCTCCTCTTAAGCCAGACTCTACTCGAGGGCATCCAGGTGGAGTGCATCCGCTCTGGTAGGGGGAGCATTCACTGGGAGTGTCCCTGCTGCCCTGGGCACCAGGAAGGGCAGCCCTCAGGAAGGAGCRGGGAAGGAAGGACAACTCGTGCTGCCCAGCAAATTCTGGAAATCCTATGGACTTCCGCGGGTCCAGYCTCCCTTTACCAAGGATCCTTTCCTTCCCCCTCATGCTACTGTGTTGGAAAACCCAAAACTCGTTATTCCTCAGATGGAATTCTTCCCAGATTTTGGATTCTCTCCTTTCTCTCTCTCTCTCTCTTTCTTCTCCTTTCYTTTTTCCCCTTCAAAAGTAAGACAGTGTAATAGAAAGAAAAATGTAGGCCATAAGAAGAGTTTGTGACCACCCAGTTTCACCTGCTGTTGCTTTATTTCTGTTAGCACTGTCTTGTGATAGTTTTGCCTCTAGAGATATCAGCAAGTATCTATTTTCCAAGCTGATTTTATTTAGTTTATTTTTGTCGGGTGGTGGTGGTGGTGGTGGTGGTATGTGATACTGGGGATTGAACTCAGGGACACTCAACCACTGAGCCACATCTCCAGCCCTATTTTGTATTTTATTTAGAGACAGGGTCTCACTGAGTTGCTTAGCACCTCRCTTTTGCTGAGGCTGGCTTTGAATTCCTGATCCTCCTGCCTCAGCCTCCCGAGCTGCTGGGATTACAAGCATGCACCACTGTGCCTGGCTTATTTAGTCTTTTAAAYAGATTCTTTACTATGTAATTAGAAGATATCAGATTGAAATAGGTGAATTTTTTTTTAAATCATCATAATGGAAATAGTGCCTGATTACTACTTTGTGACTGATTAAGTTAATTTGTTTTCTCCTTGTGAGGTGTATTCGAGGGTRTAATTACATTAGTTTGGTGATCATGATTAGAGATGATGCCAGTCTTTCCTTATATATAGAAATAATATATTTTTCTCATTTTAAAGAATATATTTTTTAATTATGTAGAAGTTGTGAATTGGAAATTTTAACTTGTAGAGCTTTTATAAGAATCATTATTAATCATAAATTTAAAAGACTGCCCCCCACCCCCAGGTTTCATAGCCAACCATTTGGAATCAGAATAGTTGGCAGTTATACRAAGCACTTTGTAGTACTYGGAAAATAKRTGTATTTCTCCTAATAGCTATTTTAGTATCTCCCACAAATAGGAAGAATGAGCAGAGATTTATAATGTTACAGTATTTCAAGGAGATTACAAAGCACAGGATATATTAATCTGGGCATGTGAATTGAAAATGGGGTGCAGTGTTTCTGGTGTAAAATCTAGATTGTTCTTCTCCTGGTAAATGGACTCACCTCTTCAGGTGGGCAGTATCAAGCACTGTGGACTGAAGAAAGCTGATCCACTTCTTCTGCGGCTGGGGTTGTGGATCAGCTGGACTTTGATTGCTCTAGACAACATGCACTTGCTCCAGGTTTAGTGACTTTAAACTTGAGATTAAATATAAGAGGTTTTAACTAAGTCTCAAGAAGATGTCTTCTCTTTTCTTTTATCATTGAAGAATTTCTCTCTCTCTTTTCTTCTTTAATAAAAACATTCCTCTTTTTTTTTCCTTCCTGTTCTTTTCTTCATTATACTAAGAAACTTAGGTTTAGGGAATTCCTTATGGGTCATTTTACATGAAAAATAAAATCTGGAGTTTTAAGCATACTTCAAGAAGGTATAGGTCACAATAACTATCAACACATTTTTAAAACAGGGACATATTCTTTTGTGTGGGCATATTTTAACACCCATTGACAAGATAAGACTGTGGCCTACCATGAAAGAATGAATAACAACTTACCACTTTAGACAAGTTGCAAACATCATACTTAACACAATGAATAAATGACGTAAGTCATCTAACCAAGCAAGAAATCACCGAGAATTAAAATTGTGGATATCACTTTGGAAATACGTGACTTTAACATAAATGTTGAAAATCTTTTTGCCTCCCAAATGTGGGAAGGTGGTCCCCATGTCACGCTAGCTCTATAAATGAGCACTTTGTGGGGAATTTGGGATCAATTATGTGAGTGGATGGAAGAGATCTGGGTTAGGCTTCATGTTTTGTCTTATAGAGAGACAGGATGCTATGAAAAACTTATGTTGCTTTTATGTAACAAACAATATGATGCTTTGAGATGTTGGTTCTTCGCGATGCTATATATTCAGATTTCCTAGTTTTAACGTCACTCAACTGCTATCTTAAACTTATTTGAATTTTTAAGGCGCTTGTGAACAACTGGTTTGTTAGTAGAATTTGAACAGGAGGGGTTTTGCAGATCAAATACAGGTTTTGACTGAAGTCCTTCTCAGGCTAGGGCCATTACCCGCTTAGCTTCTGTTAGAATGGTGGCGGAGTGCCCAGGACTTCTAGTTTTAACATACCAAACTATGGCTGGAGGAAAAACTTTTACTCATTATTTTTTCTCTGGCCATAGGATGACCTTTAATTGAAGAATTTTTTTCCTTCTTTGGGGGGAAGGGGCRGAAGACCAGTCGACTGCAGACCCACAGGAGAAGTGTGACATGATCACACTTCCTGCTTCATTCTCAAAGCGTCAGTTCTTGTGTAGAGAAAAAMCATCCCACATTCGTGGCTTAGAGCCCGTGGGCATCTCTGGGTTCAGAGCTGTGAAGCCATCAGATAAAATTAAGGTGCCAGGGCACAGCTCATCAACCACTGTCCTCAGAATTTCCGCTAGACAACCCATCTTGTGCACGAGGGATGGAGTTCATTCAGTTAGGAAGAAAACTGTGCATCTAAAATTGTGACTGCAGGACCCTAAGACGGCTCCTGTGTCTCATGGGCGAATTCTCCTCAGGAATCAGCCCTACACTTTCATTTTATGAAGTTAAAAAAGGTTAATCACTGAGCAGAGAGCATCACATCTGAACAGAAAATATATACACGGATGAATATCAAACACTCATAGAGACGCCCTGGCACACTTTGTACAGCAAGAGGGGCTCTCGACACAGCGGGATTCAGGCTGAGCCCCTTCTGTGGGAAACTGAGAGAAGCCAAGGGTAGAGCGTGAGAGGAAAGGCTAAGAAATGCTAGATACCATGGTGCTCTAAATACCGGTTCTTGGAGACTCGAAGGAATTTAATATTTTTTTCAAAATAAGAGGGTTACCAACATTTTAGTGAAAAGTGTATTTTAGGATAAAGTGTTGTTATTATTATTATTATTATTATTATTATTATTATTTTAAAACACAGCAAAACCCAGACATGCATATCTCGTTTTCCTGTGGTGCCCAGAGTTACAGTGCTTGCCATCAGCTAAGGACCATGTGCTCTGAGCGCAGAGCATCGCACACCAACACGGGCTCTGTTAGAAGGCCGATGCCTGTTGGTGATGGAGTGTGATTTTCCTGAGTCTGTCAAGGGCCCCAGGGAGCCACCGGCACCAGAAACAGACAGACAGACTGACTGCTGTCCACTCGTTTCTGTGATGTTAGGTTAGTGCAGAAGGTTTTGCTGTTCTTGTGTGTAATGCAACATCCTCCTGGAAGAGATCCAATTTTTTTTCCCCTTAAGGTTCTCTGTTTTTCTAAAGTGCTGAGCACATGTAGTTCTTTGGTTTTGAAAATCATTTTTACGAATATAATAAGATCTTTAAARAAATGTCCTGGTTTATAGTTGGGTCTGATTTTTGTTCTTCCCCCATGAATTTTGTATATTTCCTCCCATGAAGTTTGAGTGACAGATGGARAAAGAAAAAGTGTTCCCCTGTGTCAGGGAGGAACAAAATATTGTCCTTGATGAGGCTTAACATCCTGTAGGAGATGGGGAATCAGAAACGCATTTGTAAATCAGGAGGTAACTAATGGAGCTCCCTTGACTTCAGCCAGCAGGGCTGAACTTCCGTCCACGGATGGGACCAGATAATTCCCTGCAGTTCTATCAGCTTGAACCCCAGAGCTTAATTGAATGTTTTAGTTATTGTCACAAATGCAATGACATAAGGGAAAGGGAGCAATTGTAGTCAATTTTAGAAGTGTGAAGAAAGCCTATTATGATTTCTTGCTTCAATGTTCTTCTTGTGTCTTAAGTCTAACATGTACAATATTAATGGGTGATTGCTGACATTGTAAATAAAGGTTAGGTTGTAAAGGTTAAAGTTTCCGTAGGATTTATTATGTTCTGATTATCTCTCTGTAAGGAAAATTATTTGTGTTTTGATCAAATTATCAACAGTTAGTTTTTTATTTCTGTATCAGTACACACTCTAAAATGCAAAAGTTTTAGTTGCATCTTTTGAGTAAATAGATCTGCCTTTTATATAATTGAAGTGTGTTTGGATGGTTTATGGTCTGTTTTATGTTGTATTGCTAACATTTCATGTATTAATCCTTTTTGTGGCATTTTTCATGAACACAATAGAAACATTTCAACTTATGTACAATTTAAGCACAATAAAACATACTATGTTTCTATTTAGCATAGATATTAAACTTCATTATGTAGAACTTTTTATAATTTCATATACATGTTGTTTATTTTCTTAAAAATCATTTTTGTTTATGGAATGTTTTTACAGAAACACAGGTCCAGCGTTTTTGTGTTAAATAATGGTGTCCTTAGAAATACATAGTAGATTACATGACTACACACATCTTGTATCCACGCRTCCATAGGGATGTATTCACAATTTTACAGTTTGGCTAAAATCCTGCTTCACCTGTGGAATATTGACTGCTTTTTCTGTGCTGAATTAACATAATTTTGCTTTCTCCTCTGCAT